TGTGGACATTGGGGCGGGGGAAACGGGGATAGGTGTCCCTTTTTATCATTTTATAAATTGGGTCCAAAAAAAAAAAAAAAAAAAAAAAAAAACAGGAAACAGAGAATGAAAGAAAATATCTTTACCACAAACTCTGGTGTGGGTAATACACCACCAAGCCAATAACTAAACAAGAAACAAAACTGGCCAAGTCAGAAGAGAAATTTAACAGGATTTCTGCAGGGTAAAGAAGGTTTCAGTGCACTGCCAAGCAAGAAGCAGTAGGGTAAACATTATTAAAGTCTTCCTTTATGAATCTGTACCATGAAATGAAATTTGATAGACAACCTCAAATATTTCTCCCCCCACTCAGTGGTTCACCCATTTCTCAGAAAGGCATATTATCTAGAAATTACTACACAATACAAACTGAAATTCATTAACTCTGGTGAAGCATGCAAGACAGACAAATCAGGCAGACAATGTTGTAGAAAGTATCCTTTGAAAACACATCTGACATGAATCATTTGAACAAATCTGTTTTAAATATATTACAAAGATCACAGGACCTTTCAGATCCACTTTTGTCTGATTTGAAATATTTTTTAAAAGAATCCAGAGGCACTGCTCAACATTGTTAAATGTAAACTAAGGTCTGCTTTACCAGACATGCTGAAAAAAGTCACAAATTGACATTTCCATTCTTTGATTTACATCAGTATGCAGAAGAGCTCTGTCTCAACCATCAGTGGATCAATTGGCTTGATGAGTTTTTCTGTCCTGTGCTGCACAGGAACATGAGAGAAGCTCAGTTTAAAAAAACTTTACAATGAGTAATGCACCTTGTTTACATGATATTTGTTTTATTTATCTGGTTAATGTGCCACTTCCAAAACAAGTAAATATTCTGTGTGTTTTACAAGTTTTCTGTTTTCTTCCTACCTGGGCGTCCTCATAGCTGTACCGCCCAGGGTCCTTCAGGTTCTGGCTGGTGATTTCATAGCTATGCGAGTCCAGGTTGATGGAGCTGGGTGCGCCCTCTGCCAGAAACTCGGCCCAGATGTCCTGCACCCTCTGCACAACATCCTGCTGGGGGACCTTCTTCAGACCCTGCACTGCCAGCCAGAACCTGCGATGCAAATCACAAAAGATGAAGAGGATAATTTGGTCAAGTTTGTTTATTTTATCGTTATCTTAAAGCTGCTTTTGACAGATGTTGAACAAAAGTTTGTACTTTTTTCAAAATCCAAAGTGAAGACCAAGGGGAATAGAAGATGCTAATCATCAACTACTTGAACTCTTTAATCAAAAGTAAAGTTTTTTCCTTCAATTAATCTGTATTTCTTCCTTAAGTCATAAAAGTCCTTTACTTCAAATCTGAACAAATGAAGAGGTAAACCCCACGTTTCGAGTGATTTATGAGTGTGTCCTTGTTGTTGCCTTTGTGTTCTCTGAGTAGCAAACTGGACATTTCAAGGGTGAGCAACTTAACACTTTGTCTTGCTCTGCATTCGCTTGTCAGTCATTATCAGCCTTTGCCTCTTCACCTGGTAGTTGTTGTGCTGAACCTTCTTCATTTAATGCCTTGCTCTAAACCGAAGCTCAGAAAGTCGATTTAAACTCCTGTCGGGCTCTGGGTGTACTTTAATGCGCGTTGTGAGGCTGTTCTCTCAGGAGCACCTTTATATTAAATCTTGAGACTGAGTCAGGTCTACATCGCTTTCATTTAGGCGATTGGTGTTTATTGTGTGTTTTAGGCTTTAGAGCTGCTGCTGCTGCTGCTACCAGACATATTGGTCAGGTGAAAAAAGTGGAAAAGAGAAGTTATATAAAAGCCTCTTGCTTTTAAATGTGTTTTTGTAACGTATTTCATTTAGAAAATACTTAGAGATGCCTGAAAACAATTTGCAGATCACTGATCAGCCACTTTGAAGCTTGATGAAAATTATGAAATGAATTATGTGATACCGGTAAATGCACCATATGAAAAAGCTCCAGAGCCAAATAACCCTTTAGTCTGGATGATACTGCAGTATGAAGACTCAAATTTAACTATTAGAATCAATAAGGTGTTTAATTCAAATACATTTTATTTATAAAGCACTTTAAAAAAAACAAAAAAAAACAGACATTTTCCCTGTATAAAGAAAAGACAAAATAAAGAATAAAAATCAAATCACAAACAGACAATAAAAAACATCAATTCACGCTGGGTCAAAAAAGCTGTTGCAAAACAGGATGTATTTCATAAGAGACTTATAAACAGGAAGTGAAGATGCCCATCTAATATTTAAAGGCATAAAGTTAAGAAGCCGATTTCCGCCTAGTTTTGAGAACAACTAAAAGCAGCTGGTCAGACGACCTCAGCACTTTGAAATGAGCTCTGTAATATAAAGGAAGCCAGTGAAAGGAGGACATGACAGGTGAGGTGTGCTCATGTCTGTGTGGACCAGTTAAAATACAGGCAGCAACATTTTGAGCAACTTGAAGACGTGATGCTTGACTGATACCAACAAAGTGCATTGTAACAGTCAAGCCATCTTGAAATAAAGACCATGTATTTTTATCCCCACGTCCTGCCGCAATAATATAAAGCCAGAGGAAGGACAGAGATTTAAGGAAACTGTATCATATTACGCCAAAACATGCCTGTGGTTCATTCAGGCTGCAAGAAAGTGAGAAGGAGCTAGAGTTTTAGAAGATAGTGGCTCTGTTATATAATTTTGAGCTTTCAACCTCTTGTTAAGGAAGAAAATATCTAAAATAGTTAACTTTAGAAAACAGTTGGCTCTCTCTCTTCCTCTGGATCCCAGGTCCTCTCGGCGAGCCACGTGTAGGCACAAGGAAAACAACAATGCGTGTTGACGTCACAGAATTAATCCAATAAGAAACAACTTATGAATTAACAACAAAACTGCAGAACAACAGAGACATACATTCATTACCTGAGACAAAAAGATAAAAAGAAAAGGCAAAGACGCGTCTTTGGAGAGAGCTGGTGCAAAAAAGGCAAAATAGTGGCAGCAATCTGACTTCTTACTCCAGGTCGCGAACTTTTATAATGTAGGTGTGTCTTTCCTTTTTAATATATTCAATTAAGGCGTACCTCCGCTTGACCAACTGGAAGCTACCTTGGACACTCAGAAAAACTTAGAACTTCCCCTAATTTACTGCTGTGAACAAAGGCCATTTGCTCTTTTGTTTAACAAACGAAGAGGAGAGCCTCATCCTGAACTCCTGTGGTTTTAAAACCATCTAAATAAAAGATATACAGAGAAAAGGATTTCACAGATATGTGTGAAAGCCGGAGTCTCTCCCGCTATCTCTCCCTACATAAATTCTCAGGAACAAACTTAAATTCTGTAATTAGTTTAAGGAAAGTTTATGTTAACAAACCCAGTTTTGCTCTTCTGCACTCAGCACCCCAAAAGATTGAGTCCTGCCTTAAACCAAAAATAACACATAAAATCAACAGAACAAAATGAGGTACAATTCCTTTTTCTAACCTATGAAACATAATATTCAATCCTAAGTATACAAGTTAACACAATCATTTTCCAAAACCCCATTTAGCATAAATCCTGAGTAATTTTCTAATACTAAACAAAACATTTCATTTAATTCTAACAGTCAGAAATAATACAGTTTTCAGTCAGAGCATGCTATCTATAACTAAGAAAAATATCTTGTAAGGTAAATGTTAGTGGTTTAAAATGTTCACACAACCCAGATGTTCACAGAAGGGTTCTGATCTCCTGTGAACTCGGCAAGGTCCTGTTTCCCAAGGTAATTTAAATGATACTGGCCTCTACCTTCCTGCATATGTTAATCCATGGCCTCCTGTCCTATGTGTTACAACCACAGGGGTCCAAGGAGAAGCTCTACAGATCACCCCATTTTCCTTGGAATACTTACCCAGCCATAGTTTAATTCCAAATCACTAACAGAAACCTGTTCAAAGTTTAAAGATTTGTTCAAAAAGATTAAACTGTATTAAACACTAAAAATAATCATTTTTCTCAACACTCTGCATTGGAACATAGTAGATTCTGAAACACTGGCAGCCTTTTAGACATGTCAGTGTTAAGGTAAGGATCTGTATTCTCCTTTAAAACATGGACATTTCTGTTTTTGCAATGCCAGCTGTACTCATTTCTACTGTAAAATGTCAAAGAACTTTACAATGATTTTGTTTGTTTGTTTCAGACTAATCAGTTAAATATATTTAAAATAACATGAGAACAAATGTGTTTAGAGCATATATTTTTCTAAAACTTCCACAAACTTCCAAGCAATTAAGACCGTTAATCAACTGCTGTATCTCAAAGCCACAGGATGACTACCTCTAATATCATTTTTTTCTCTCTATTGATCTGTGGACGGCCTTAGCAAGTCCACAGATAGAGAGAAACACCTCTGGGGTCTACTTTTCTGATTCACTCTCAGTTTCTCCAGAAATGCTCCAAAAGTTCCCTCATAAAACCAAACACAATTAAGGGTTTAGAGGCTGGAGTCTGAATTCTTGTGGGACCGCTGATGGTTGAACAGGTCTATATCGCTCCTCTCCATCTTGCTGTGTGTGCATCTCTGGGTTTTATCAGGCTCAGAGGCATCAACATCCCCAACTGGAGTAGTTCATCTCTACCACTCCTTCCCTCCAACTAACGCTACAAAAACACAAACATTTATTGCTGCTGTGAGGGCATGAAAGGCGAAGCGTTATGTTGTGTGTAAATCCTTATGCCTAAATGAGGGATGAATTTAATATTTTCTCTGCAAATCAATAAACAGCTACTCTGAAATTAACGCATTCATTAACATGGAGGTGAAGACACACTCCGAGTGGAAAAAAACAACAACTAACACAATCTTAATGCCAATGTGCAAAAACAGTATGAAAAAATGAGCTCTACTTCTTCCACTGTACTTCAGCGAGGAGCTGCTCTTCAGATGACTATCAGCGCCATTGAGGCCGAGTTGTTCTCTAAAGGCTGAAGTTTTGGAGCTCCAGAATATTTAGAGCCGTTGATGTTTATTTTTAAATACAGAAGAATGCAACAAGGATTATTCACAATTGGGAACTCAAGACAATTATCCATTTGTCCCAAGAGTGTGTGCTCACACCAACGTTATGAGAACATTTTAACAAACGGCACAACCATTGGTCATGTAAACCAATACAAGCAACTTCTACTGTAAACTCAGTCAACTTACAGTGATTAAATTCATCATAATGACTCTAAATGTAATCAAATCTCTCTCATACCTGAAGCCTGACAAAATTTCATCTTTCAAGACAATGATCCAATCAAAGTAAAAGCAGAATATCATCAACATAGTATATTAATGGTTCACCAAAGATTTTCAATCAGTACTTTGATTTGCAAATTATTAATATTTAATCATGATAAAGCTCAACTCAATTCAATTTCTAAGTAAAGCTGGGCCACAAATTCCTTACCAATGTTTTGACTCACCTCAGGTTTTCTGAGCTAAACTCCGATTCTAGGAACTTGAGGAACAGATCCTGTCCTGCCGGATCCTTCAGAGCCTCCTCCAGGGAGAAACCCCACTTCTTCACCCTCTGCTGACTCGGTTCTTTGCTAGGAGAGACGAGAGAGGGTGGAGAGAAAATGAAAATAGTTTAAAGACTTTATCCATCTTTTAAAAAAACAGATTAATAAAAAAGTGGGGTAGAGAAGAAGAAGATATCTGAAAGAAAAGGTTGAGTGTTGGGTATTCGGAAAAAATTCAAGTTGAAAAATGTGTTTGTATTGTGACAAAGGTTTAGTGCTGATGGAATATTAGTGACTGCAAAGCTCCACATGACAACGTTCATCAGGAATCACATTGCTTAGATGTGATTCATATTGTCCTGTGCAGAATTTTAATCGATTTGGATGAATTATTAAGATGCATTAGGTTTCATGATTATGTGTCTGCTCTAATTAATTCCTTCATTACTCAGTGAGGCCAGAAGTTCAGAGCACAGTTCAACTTGTTGAGAGTAATGTTCACCCACTACATTTCCTGTGTCTTTCATTAATAATTCAGCAAACTATCGGTAGCATCACATGGCTTTGTGAATTGCTGGAACAGAAAGCAACATCTTTGATAAGTCAGATGAAGCAACAAAAACAATTTAAACAAGAGAGTCTGAATAAATACATCTGGACACATAGTAAATACATACAAGCATTTGAGTGCATTTTATTTCAAGTGTAAGATTCATTAGCTTATCCAATGCTATTCTTGGTACAATAGGTATTGTGCTATTCATAGCTGCACATACATTGTATTTCTATATTCTAGTTGCTTGTTTATTCCTATTCTGTTCTAGATAGAAGGTAAATTACTCCAACGTGACGTCGTTCAGCTACATCAAGACAATCTGAGGTTTTCACCCCCTCTGGCATTTTACCTTTTATCCTGCAATTCAATCATGTTCAATAAAATACACAAATAGCATTTAATGAATTGAAAAAGCAAAAATGCAACATAAAAATTTTTTTAAATTTTTTTTACAGGTGCTGTACATTCATCAAAGGTTTACAGTGGTAAAACTTTATCATTTCAAACAAAGGCTTTGTGCCTTTCACTAGGTCTTTGCAATAGCGTGGGCACTAAATATTGAATTTAGATTATGGTTTGAAGAGCTCCAACACCATCTTCTGATGTTTTATTATTTTGAAAAAACAATTTTACTTAGAAACCCCACATGTTTGAGATGGTTTTTTAAAATGACTTTAGTATTAGGAGCTCTGTCTAATTCATTTTGAGTTATTCATCATAAAAAAAATAGTTCAGTTTCAATTCTTTTGGTTAATTTAAAACCTAAATTTAAACATCTGAATATGAAACATACAGATGTATTAAACCGTTTTTTCCGAGTTTCTGTGAATACTAAATGCCTTTAAGCAAAATCTGATGTTTCTGCTTTTGTACCTCATCTCCAGGTCCCACAGGCTGGGGTCATCACTGGTCCAAGGATTAGATGGTTCTGGTGTGGTTACAAACGGGTCATACTCCATGAACTGCTCTGTGTAGGTTATCAGGCTGGTGTACAAAAAAAACACACATGGGTTAACACAAAAGGAGGAGATCATAAAACACTGATACGGTTACTAAACTCCCACTGTGTTATGTCGTGTCATATTTGGCAAGATACTAAAATCAAATCTTGAACTCCTTCCTTAAAAAGCATATATGTACAAACGTGGTTAATGCAGATGTAAAACACAGTAGTGTCACTTGAAGGAAAATTAAAATAAATAGAAAATGTACAAGAATCTCTGATAGCACTCCTCTGTTATCAACTATTTATGAAAAAATAACTTCACAAAGTAATAATGACTTCAGAATAAGTGTCCGTCTTGTGTCACTGTAACCAACCCATTCTGGATATTCTTACAATTTTCTCTAAAATAAAAAAAGAAACATTTCGCTTTCAAAACTGAATTCGCAAATTAATTGTGGAAGCAGAAGTAGCACCATTAGAGATGTAGTAGCAGTCTCTAACTTTTATCCCACAAGTATCATAAACACGTCTAAAGGTTTATTTTCTCCCTCTTTTTACTGCACATAACTGCAGTCACCAAAGGAAGAGCTGGAGCATCAAAATTTTAAATGATCTGTTGTAACAGAAGAAAATAGCATATGCTCAATGAATACAAATATTCAGAAAATAAGAAAAACTTACTAAAACTGGCTCCCTACTGAGGAAAGCTGAAGTCACCTTGAAACTGCAGACTGTAAAAACCTGGCTAAGCTCTTTAATATCTGTTTTTATGTCTGTGAGGGGTACGTTTCTTTACCTTTCAGCAACTTTGGACATTTTCAAACAGTGACGATCGAGCTGGGTGTTCAGAAATAAGATCTGTAAAGAAAAAGTTCTGTTTATTTATTTGTATGATTAATAACTAAGATGGTTTTGATTTTACTGAGAGCGACCATCTCTGGTTTGTGTTACCGTTTCATGAAACACAACACTTCCTGTGATAAAAAGCCACGCAGGATGAAGGAGTATCCATTATGTCACCAACACCATTTTGCAGAAAGTCTTACCTCTTTTTCTACATCCTCTTTCGTCCCTTTTCGGCAGTGGTGTAACGAAGTGTGTATGGGACTCTGTGCCTGCGTTCCCTCCTCCACCACACCGTACACTGACTGGATCATATACATATATATAAAACAAAAAAAGACAGCTAAGCAGGTTATTTGATTAAATGTGCACTTGAGTGTTCTCACATTGCTAGTGGGGTATTTTTTTACATAAGTGCCGTCTTGGGCTAGCACCACCTTTAGCGCCCTTTCCTTAAGAATTTAAAGATGGAAGCACTTTTGCAATAAAGCAGAAAGATCATCAAAAATCAACCATCTGATTTGAGCTCTGTTTGAATTGCACCACCAAACAGACTTGGTTCCTGGAAAAATATCAAAATGTGAGAAATGATCTTCGGTCACAGGGTGTGCACATGCAAAAAACTACAATTTAACTAAAATTTATCTGAAGTATTTGTGTGTAAAGACGCTTTCCTTCGTACCTTCTTAACTCGATGAGGATTCTTCATGCGTCTGCATTTCCTTATGTCCATTTCTGTGGTGTTAACACATCCAGGCTGAAGGAAAACAAACATAAAATGTTCTTTTCTGTCAATAAGGGCAGTGCATGCAGCACCTGAGGAGTTTCTGCAATGATACAGTGTAAAGTTTGTAATTGGAGTCTGCAGATAATGGATAAGTTGGTCAAAAGAAGATTCACCACTGGTCTGTGGACGTCCCAGAAGGCTCTCTCCTGGCTGTCAAGGATCTTCCTCTCAGTTTTATCCTTTTTTCTGTCGATCCTGCAAGTGAGACGAGACACAGTGGGAAACAAAACTTCCATCTTATCCTCATTCCATCAAAGAGTCAAGTCAGAACTCAAGGATATGGAAGAGGAATAGTGATGAGAATAAGGATTATTTTAAATTGTTTTAGTTTTTAAAACTGAAAATTGTGTAGGTTAAAAAACTGCATTATTGTATTGTTTCATGTACAATTACTGAAGTAAAGATCACTTTACTTTTTCACATACTATAGTTACGAATCCTCACTGTGTGCTTAAATCTAAACATTTGCAATCAGGAGATGCAAATATAGGTTGAACAAATCAGTGGTGTGATGTTCTAACTTCTTTAAATCCATAGAATCCTTTTGCAACGTTATTATCATTGCCTTATTGGTGTGTGGAATATTTCCAGTGCTTGTTTAAAGATAGTTTTAGTTATATTTGAAGAGAAAACAGCTCAAAATTTTTTGATAAAATCTGTGAAATTTTCCAGCCTTTGGCACAACTTGTGTTTTTCACCTTCATGCTAAATGGGTAAGGTATTTTAAAGATTGTTCGAAAGTGTATTTCCTATTGTGTTTTTTGTCAATACGGACAAATTGTGAAAATACTTGATAATTTCTTCTTGCTCCTAATGTCTATTTGTCTATTTCTACTGTAAATAACTGAAGTTCATGGATGTTATATTCATGTGCCGACTTGGTGACAAAACTTACTTGACCTGCGCCTCAGCCTGCATGTAGATAAACTCCCACTTTCTTGCAAAAGCCCTCTGTAGTCTGGCCAAGTTCTCCTGTTGGGAATAAATAATAAAACCAAGATTCAAACTCTGAGGGGTAAAGTCCACCTGCCTAAAGGTTGCTCAAAACAAAAATAGTTATAACTTAAAAGAGCGTTTCTGCACTTACTGCCTCATAATCTGCCAGCTCCAGCCTCGTCTTATTCTGCATGGTCCGCTTGCACAGGTAGATGGCTGAGAAAAGACGGTTTAAAACCAGGAATTTATCAGTAGAACATCCACATAATCCAGCAGCTCATGTGTGTCCTATTATCAGTGTAGACTTATGGCTCATGAGCGCCTTTTCTCACCAGTAGATGAGCAGAGAATCATCAGTGTGAAAATGTTTGACGATTTTTGTGACTATTAGGATGTGAAGATACTCTAAAATCTTAAACCCTCATCCAAAGCCATGAACCATGTGACATGGTGCAGGAGGTGAAACGGAGATTGATTATTACAGGAGTGCTGGCCGTGTCTCAGTGTTTTTCAATAAACATTTCTTTGTATTTACATTTAGATTTGCTATTAAATAATTTATAGGCATGTATATTAAAACAAATTAAGTTGGAAACCTTTTATTCTACCTGTATTATATATACATTTTTACCAATAATAAGAAATTTATAAATATTGGTACCATGACAACACAATAAAATACATCTTCAACTACTATTAAAAAAACAATGTTCACAACATTTATTTATAAAAGCTCTGCTCACATTTCTTATTTCACCATGCATCTATGGTTGCCATAAACATCCTTTCGAGCAGCTGCAGACTTGACCTTAGTAACTTTTTCTATTTGCAAACATTTAGCCTGAAGCAAAGAGTTAACTGAGCAAACAAGAGAAGCGCGAGTAGATTTATTCATGTTTCTGTAAAATTACAAGCATTTAATTACATAAGAAATGCTACCAACACATTTAACTTTTCTGCCATTCTTTCCCACCATACTGGTAAGTTCAGCATAGCAGGTTTAGCATTAAAATGACATGAATCTTCAACAGGCTTTTAGCTGTTGTCAGTACAACTGAAACAACTACATTTATTTTGGTTGCATATATTAAAAAAATTAATCTTCAGTGATTTAAGTGATTAAAGCAGTTTTTAAAAGCTGTTTAAAAACACATTTTGAGAAAACTGCAATTGAAATAAAACATAAAAAACATCTGAAATCAGACTGATTATTAACCTGGACAAATTCATTGCAGACTACCTCTAAATGGGGTCTTGATGCAACCTTAATACATTTTGAGTGGGGTTGGGTCTTTATTTAGCACACAGTTGTGATTATCTGTAATGCATGTAGTTTCTAATTTGATAAGTCTTAACTAGCCTTTAAAATACATTCAGTGTTTAAAAGCAAAATGTAATTTAAGGATCATGAAGCAACTGTAGAAGCAGCCAGATGCTCAAGTTACAACAACACAAAACAAAATCCTGACAGGCTAATTAGAAACCTCTA